GAGCGCTGGGGGCGTGCCACGTGTCTTCCAGCCGTTGGGCTTGCGTCGCGCTGACGTCAGCGAACGCTGGTTCAATTTTTTTTACTGTTGGCAAGCGCCAACGGTAAAAAAAATTTGAATTCCGCGTGTCGACGTCAGCCTGACGTCACCCCCCCGCGTTTTGGACCTGGGGCGGAACTTGCCTTCGGGCCAGCCCGGGTTGGTGGGGCCCACACCCCCCCGGGCCTGGACTGCTCCGCTGGAAAGCAAATTTTTTTTTTTTCCCCCTAGCCTCGAGCTGGGCTCATGAATGGAAAGGCTCTAAGGTAGAGAATGATGAAACATTCAAAAATCCCAAAAATACAGTTGGCAAACTAAAATTTTAAAATGCACCGATTTTAATTGAAGCGGGAATAATTGTAAGAGAAGAATTACGCAGAACTTTAAAAAAATAAAAAAGAACAGAAAAAAGGTACAGACCCCACTTCATAGCAGTTGCTCTTCTTATCAGTTTCTTCTGGCACGTTCTATTGAAATGGGAATCGGATGAAAGCAAAACTGAAACCGTCCAAAACCCACCATGGCCCTCAAACTTGGAAACGCATTTCCTTCCCTCCCATGTTTCGCGGAGCAAGAATCCTCATCTACTCACTGCATAAAAAGGTTTGAGGTTTTTCTTTTCTTTTTTTTCTAGGTTCGTTTCTTGATTTGTGATGTCGAAAATTGAGAAGTAAATCATAAATTGAGTTTGGTTTGTTGTTACGGGGAGGAAGATTGAAGGAAAAAGAACTGGAGCAATCAATATTGGAACCCCCAGTCTGCTCATCAATCTGGTAGTTCATGTCTTTGTGTGGCTGATTTTCTCTTTGCCTGTTCACCGGGAAGATCACAGCGCGGAAACTCCAGAGAGGATGCCCCAATGACTGACCAGATTGATGATGATGGCTATGAGGTTTAGTTATACAAATCATGCTTCTGACTTGGATGACCTTTTACATGAACTTCTTGAGTAAATTTCTTCAAGCTTTTCTCATTTTACATGAATTTCATGTGCAGGATGATGATGACCAAGAAGCCGAGTTTGAGATGTTCAGGGAACACTCAGAGAGTGGGTTACAAGAGATGAAGTGCAAAGATTTATAGCCAAGAAGTTCAAAGAATTTCTGCTCACCTTTGTGAATGACATTGAATATGTGCGCCTCATTAATGAGATGGTATTAGGTAAGGGCTTAGCTTTATGTAACCGGCTCTTATGCTCTGTTTACTGTACATTGGCCATTTGTATTTTTTATCTCAATGTGTTGTGCAAGCTACATAATGCCTCGGATCTTTAATTTGAATTTTGAATCAATTCACTGTTGCATTTTGTAGCCAATAAGTGTAGTCTGGAGATTGATTAGAAACAATTCATCGGTACTCATCCCAATATTGCCATTTCATTGGCTGATGCTCCCCAGTTTGTCCTGGAAGTCATGTAAGATGTTGCCAAGAATGTGGTGTTTAGTTTACACCCCAATTACTAACGTATCCATCAAAAGATCTATGTTAGGATAACCAACTTACCTGTTTACGATCGGATTCACAACATTCAGTATTGTGGAGATTTTTTTTCTTACCTTTTTCCTTTGAGGTGTAAATGTCATCCTGCTCTTATGGTGTGCAGGCAGATCCATTTGAATCCCTTGATTCGTATTGGAGACGTTGTGACCCGACGCTCCGGGGTCTTTCCCCAATTGCCACAAGTAAAGTATGATTGCAATAAATGTGGGGCAATTTTGGGGCCATTCCTTCAGAACTCTTATTCAGAAGTTAAAGTTGGTTCTTGCCCTGAATGCCAATCAAAAGGACCGTTCAGTGTCAATATTGAGCAGGTGAGTTTTACAAATTTACATACATTTGCCTTCAGTTTTCTTTTTGGCTGGAAAAATCTGAAGAGAAGAAAGGGAATTAACATTGAATGTTGTGGAGGCTGTTATGGGAACTTATAATTAATATTGCACCTCAATTATGCTAGAAAAGGTTGAAAATGGTTTTTATTTTTCTTCCAGTTTTTGTTACTCCAGTATTATGTTTTTGGCTGCCTTTATATTATTGTATGGTTTCTGAGAAAAGGGATCAAATGAAAAAAAAAAAAAAACAATTTTTAGTTTTAGTTATCTGATAACCATTTCTCTTTCTCTTTAGTTTTAATCTGTATAAGGCAGCAGTTCCTTTCAGTTTTTTTATGTTCTCATCATCATCTTCTTCTTCACTTATTGAGGTCCAGTCATTAGTTCAAGAACTCGAAGTTCAGAATTGCTTCAATGACTCCGGTTCCATGCTTTCTATTTAATAATCTTCAGTCTGCAGAGTATCAACTCTTTAAATGGTACGAATCTCTCTCTCACACAAAGGTATCCCTAATTTATGTTTGATTGACTGAAACTTTGGTTAGGGTCTAGGTCTGTGTTTATGTTTGTGTTTGTGTTTGTTATTATTTATGTGTTTGACTCATGAAATTAAAAAGTCTTTGGAATTTTATCTCAACAGATGGAATCGCCTCTCACCTCTCTCTCTCTGACGCATAAGGGTTCCATAAGTAGCAGAGGGAACTATATTTAAGGTTAATGATTCTTCATTTCATTGTATTTTGTATTTTAAGTTTCCAATCAGCATACATTAGTTTAGTTGGAAGATGATTTTTTCCTATTGGGTTCTCTCAAAAGTTGTCCATTATTATACAATCCCTTTTTCCCCCAAAATTAGACTTTTTAATATTGGCTCTACTATAACTAGGTGTTCTGTTTTCTGCTGATAATTTGGGCCTCCAAATGTGCCTAACAAGCCATGGCTTTATTTCTCTACGTTCATGTGTTAGTGAGAATCCACAATTATATTTTTGTCTTTCTGGAAGACGCAGGTGACAAAGAAAAAAGAAAGCAAACAAATCACCCTTTGGGATACTTTTGGGTTGTTTCTGACTAGAATTGGGTGTTGATTTACATTTGTTATTTGTTTACACTATCGCTATTAGTTTCGTCTTTCTTTATGTTTATTTTTTGTTAAGTGTCCAGGTCATTCTAGATCCAGATTCAGTTTCATATTGATGTAAAGTGTCCAGTTCAGGCATCAACTTCTATTTTTTATGTTACAAATAAGATTATGCTTAGATTTTTTCTTCTTCTTTTTATCTCAGGGGATTATTTTTTATACAAGAATTAAAAGCAAAATGAGGATCAGAGTTGGAGGGAGTTCAAGAGTAACATGAAAGCATAACAAAAGGGAAGCATCATGGTGGTGACTCAACATAAGCACCGATCATGACTTCTTCGAGCAGTGAACCGAAGTCGCTCTTCTTCGTGGACAAGTCCAAAGGTGCCTCATTCATACCTTTGTTTTTTTGTTTTTTGTTTCGAGTGACATAATTGCCTTTTTTCGCAGCCGATAATAACACATCCATAATGACACACTACGATAGACTTATTCTGAAACATAAGTCTATTGTTTTGATGGATTGTTTTAGTATTCTTAATATCTTGCTTCATATTAAGCTTTTTAGTTGTTTTGGTGTGTGTGTGTGTGTGTGTGTTTTTTTTTTTTTTTTTGGGTAAATTCTGATCCAATTTGCTGCACGAGGCTTCCAAAGAAGATACTAGCAAGAGAGCATAAAATTGCTGGAGGAGGAGGTTCATGTACAAGCAGTAGCTAAAAGGATTTCATGATCTTAATTTAATTGTCATGAACTTTTTGTTTTTTCGTTTCCTTTTTTTTTTTTTGGTCTGAACCACGAGGTGGTCCTGGATGGGCTCCAACTATGGATGGCACCTTTAAGCCTTAACCACAACCCAGACTAATCCCCGTTCACACCGGGTCGGCCCGTAAGGAGTAAAGTGCTGGCCAAAGTGGTGACTCCATACGAGAGCAGGGAGCAATACTAGCTTCAATTACTATATTTTGGTGTAAAGAGTTTTGATTTAAATAAAGACTTATTCAATTGCATCTGTTCCAAATTCGGTTCAGTGGTTAACTATGATAATTGTTATCAATAAATACTTTCTTTTCAATATGATCAACTCTGATAATTGATTTATTTTTATAAAGGTTATCAATGAATACAATACAACATATGTTACCAAATTATTGAAAAAAAAGAACTTTCAAGCAGGGGCGGAGCCACAGAGGCGCAAGGAGGTGCAGGTGCACCTCCTCTCGCAGGAAAATGCGTTGGAGATGCAGGAATTTGTGCCCTCCAAGTGTTCGATTAAAAGCCTCAAACATGCTGTTTTGTTGCTGTTGTGTGAGACCCTGAATATTTACCTTAGATTGTTGAGCTCGATCTCACGATCACGTAGGAGAAAACGGTTCATCAATTGGACCTCCACAACCAAAGTTATAGATTTTAGAAGATTTTGAAATTTTTTCACTTAAGTTGCAGACACAACCAGCCGAAGAAGAAGATGATGCCCTCCAAGTGTTCGATTAAAAGCCTCAAACATGCTGTTTTGTTGCTGTTGTGTGAGACCCTGAATATTTACCTTAGATTGTTGAGCTCGATCTCACGATCACGTAGGAGAAAACGGTTCATCAATTGGACCTCCACAACCAAAGTTATAGATTTTAGAAGATTTTGAAAAAATTTCACTTAAGTTGCAGACACAACCAGCCGAAGAAGAAGATGACTTGTGTTTGTAGTTAGAATCCTGTGCTTCTCAACTTGCATTCCTTTTTAATGTGGTCCACTATCGGGGCGTCATGTGTCAAATTTTAATTAGACCAAATTTAGAAATTCATTAAAAACTCATATGTTCTCCAAAAAATTCACCGAAAAATACCCCAAACTCATAATCACATCTACTTTTATCTTGTGACCTCCAAATCACATGTACTTTGGGTTAGATTAATTGGTATTGATTTTGGTTAGATTAATGGATGATTTCATATGAATTTTGATAGACTAATTGTGTAATTGACATGCATTTTGTTCATATTTGATATTAATTTTGGTAAATAATTGTGTAACATGAATTTTGTGCATTTAATTTATATAGAAAATAGATTATAGTCAATTAGGCTTAGACGTAAAAGTCTTATTTATTTTAATTATGGATAATATTAGTGTTGTTTAAATTGTAAGGCTATTTGGTTATTATTATTATTTTTTCGGATGTTTTAGCCTTTTAACATTGCCCCTTCCTTGAAAAATTCATAGATCCGCCACTGCTTTCAAGGACAATTCAAGCTAAAAATTAAAAACAGGAAAAGGCGTTTTACCCAAACTAATAAAAGGTATTTCAAATTCTGGGAAATAAAAAGGAAAATTTTCAATTCCACCAACCAGAAAATTAAAAAAAAAAACAAAAAAAACCACAAAGAATCCCCCTACCTCCTAAAGCTCACTAGACTAGCCTTCCTGCACACGCTTTCATGTGTGCGAGAGGCTTTTTTTAAATCACGCGCTCTACGAGAAACTTATAATTTTTTGTTTCTATTTTTTCGCAATTGTATTTATATAAATGTCTGTTACAATAGTTTCATACTAGTCTCCCTGCACGCGCTTCCGCGTGTGCGAGAGGTTTTTTTTAATCCGCGCTACACGCTACTTACAAAGTTTCGTAAATATTTTTTCGCAATTGTATTTATATAGATGTCCGTTTCGACAGTTTCATATTTTAATCGCGCGCGTTTGATAAATCTTCGTCTTAAGAGTTTTTCTTTATCGCATGTATTTTTCTAGACGTCTATCCTAGCAGTTCACACAAGCTAATATAAAAAAAAAAAAAAAAAATTGCTAAGATGGACGTCAGAAGAATAGCAGATGCATGAACCTTCAGTTTTTCATCTGAACTTGTTCTCCGGTGCGCTGTCTCTTCGTTTTCTTCAGTTTTTAGGGCTCTCTTATTGTGTGGCTGAGTAAGGGTTAATAATTTTCATGACTAATGATTTGAATAAAGTAGAGAATAAAGCATGGAAAAACTGAAAACCGTGCCTAAAACCCTCCATCATTTCCAGTAAGGCACGAACCAACACAAAGGCATTGCCAACTAAAGACTATATACATATACATTTCATTGACTACACCGTTCTTTTTTTTTTGTACCCCTCTTTTGCCATCTAAAATCACTCGCAATCTCACTCCTCACTCTATCGACCTTATCTCGTTCTCTCTCTCAACTCTCGATCCACCTCCTCCCTCCTCTCTCTCAATCTCACTCAGATCCTCTTCTCTCTCAGATCTCTCTGCCTCTCTGGGCTTTAATCAAAGGTATGAAAATCCCTAAGCTTTCGATGTTTGGGTGTTTCTGATTTGTTGTTTTTGGATTGGTTTAATTTATCGGTATTTGATATTTGGACTATTTTTGTTTTTCTGTTGCTGTATTTTTGGTTTTGATGTTGTCGTTGCTAGTATAGGAAAGAGAAGCTTTGAAAGAAAAAAGGGGAGAGAAATAAGAGGGAAGGTATTCTATTGTTCTGTTCTTGTGCATTTGATTTGTTACTGATTTTCTCTTTTATTGGCACCTGTGATTTTGTCTGTATTAAAATCATGGGTTGCATGAAGACAACTGTGGGGGGCTTTAGTTAATTAATTGCAACATATGCTACATATTTGGAACCATTGCAAATTAACAAGACATTATTTTTGGGGTGATTCAATCAGGAACCAATTAATCTTTCAAAAGAAAAACAAAACTGAGAAGTGGGTTTTAGTCATAATGGAACCTTGGAATTTACATATATTGAAAGCAGAGTAGTCGTAGCTAGGCATCATTGTTTTACATATGCACTTAAAATTTACCTAAGTAATTTTGTCATCATTGTTTTAATTACTCTTGCTTGAAATTTTGGTTTGCAGTTTAGGTCATCAGGGGATTCTATTGTCCATGTAGTGGTTGATGCCAAGTAACTCATCCGTATATTACATAATGGCTCTGTGGATGTGCTTAAAATAGGTACGTAGTGTACTGCTCTTGGTTTGCTTTCATTCATTACAAATTGTGAATCCCGTGGCTCTTCTTGTTTTGTACAATTAGACTTGATATTTGCAGCTGTTGAACTGGATCCTTAATGTTTTGGGAGCGTTTTTGTAGTTTTATCAATATAATCTCATCCCTAGTTGTCGATGTTTTATAAGCAGTATGCAATTTTGAGACCATCTGTAAGGTTTGAGTATAAGAGAGTGAGGCAGTTGTCTTGTCTCTTCCACTTTTAGTGGATAGACAATTGCCTAGTTGAAATTAACTGAAAACAATGTTCTAAAACAATTTCATTCAAATTTTATATTTGGATATGTTGGTAGTTTTAAGAAGCAGAAGATGTCTGATTCATCAACCTTAATCAGTACAAGTTAAAATCCCCCCTCTCCACTTGTTGTTTAATTTGTTTATGTATCATTGATTGCATTAATTCTTTCTGCTAGTCTAAACTTGTACTAGATTTATATATCTTATCATCATATCATGATGACTTTGACAAATTAGGTGCTGGTCTTGATGCTGACCTGCATTTTATAATTATCACATATAGATGTATTTTGTGTATCATTTGCTTAGTGTGGTGGCTATTAGAGTTGTTGTTACCTTGGGCAATGATTGTTTTTATGCATATTTGGGCAGAGGAACTTACCCTTTTGTTCATGAATTCTCATGTCTGATTTTTCCCCCTTCATTACTTGTGAAAAATGTGTTTCAATTGATTAAGTTGCAGTAAGTACAAAGCCTCTAAAGATTGACCATAACTCAGTCAAGGTAAAATCTTATGTTTTGGCTCAATATTTGTCTTTTCCAGACGCGTTTCTCCTATGTTTTCTGCTGCCCTATGTAAAGCATGTTTGGAGGATACCATTTTTGTATCTAATTGAGTAATTCCCTTGGTGCTGCAGAGAAGGTTGATGTTTTAACCTTCGGCCTATATTACTCTTGTTAGGGACTTCATGGTTATTTTCTTTATATAAAAAAAATTTCCCTTTATGAACATGCTATTAGTGAGAAAGGATTGTTAAAATGACAAGAAATTGAATCGCTTCTTGTTTGGTGCTTCTGCTTCTCCTATGTTTTCTGCTGCCCTATGTAAAGCATGTGTGTTTTATGTAATGGTGTTTTGTAGGATGCGTTGGAGAAACTTGAGTAGAGGGAGCGGGATGCAGGCCGGAAGATGATGAATGAACAACCATGAAGGAGCAAGAAATGCTGCAGAGGTACAAAGTCCATTGTTGAATGTTTTGGTTTGGATGCAAATAGGTGGGGAAGCTAGAAGTAATAAGACTAAGAAAAATATTGAAAATTGGTTTATTGGCTGACTTTGGTGCCATTTTGTATTTATTGGGTGAAGAATATTGAAGAAAATATTTTGATGTGCTGGTGTAATTAAATTCACTTGTTAACCATAATGGCATGCTCTGGATTTTGATGCTTTTGTTCATGTTCTAATTGTACAAGAGTAATGATTGAATGTGCTATTGTTAAATTTCTTTGACCTAACTTCGTTTTAAAGGACTAAATATATACTAGATTCTACTATTTGTTGAATACATTAATGCAACTTGGTAAATATGATTGAATTGTGCCCAATTAAAATAATGGGTAGCAGGTTGTGAGAGAATGAAAAGGAAATTAATTGGAAATGGGAAATAAAGGCACTGATATCTGTAACCTATGCAATGCATTAGTTACGGATGTATTTGGAATTGATGTACGCGTATTGGGTGTTAGGAATGTAGGACCCATTGCATAAATTAGGCACTGATTTTTATAATCAGTGACATTTTATCAATAGAGGACCCCTTTAAAAGACACTGATATATATCAGTCCCTAATACTACAATAGACACTGTTTTCAGTCCCTAAAGAGGCCAAAAGGGACTGATAGCACTCATTCTCTTTTGAGCCTTTTTTTAGTAGTGTAATCTTTAAATTAGTGATGATTTGCAATGGATTTCTTTCTGATAGTAATTTGCTGAATTTTCTATTTTTTGGGTTGGTTTCCTGCTATATTTAATTGCTTGAAATGATAATCAATACCAGACAACTAGTTTTTAAAACTCTGTGGTTCTTTTCCCTAAATAAAATATAATATAATTAGCACTCAGTTTCTTTTTATTTGGTTTAGTTTTTCTTGTAGGTGGTAGTGTAACAAGTTTGTGTGCAAATAAGGGTTTTTAACTTGACTCTTGCAAGCATAATATTGCCCTCGCCGACTGCCATGAGTGGATTCTTCTGTCCTGGGGGTCCAATCAAACCCACAACTTTCGATCTTATTGTCATTGGAACAGGCATCCCTGGATCAGTAATTGCCGCCGCAGCTTCTGCTGTTGGAAAAACTGTCCTCCACCTTGACCCCAACCCATTTTATGGCAGCCACTTCGCCTCTCTCCCCCCAAATGACCTCACCTCCTTCCTCAATTCCCATTCTACAGATCACATCACCACTGCCACCATTAACACCACCTCTATTGATTCTAGTCTCGACCATGATTACATTGCTATAGACCTGAAACCCCGGTTGTTATACTCTAATATTGAGACTGCCGCCTATGCCCCTGAAATCCTTGCAAAACATTGCCCGAGAGAATTCACTATCGACCTTGGAGGTCCTAGGTTGCTATTCCCTGCTGACAAAGCCACTGACCTTTTGATGAAATCCGGACTAAATTTATATGTTGAATGTGGGTTCTTGGAATTCAAGAACATCAGTGAAATTTTCGTTTGTGATGAGAGTGGGCAGTTAAGGAATATTCCACACTCGCGAATAGAAATGTTTAAAGACAGGAGCCTAAGCCTTAAAGAGAAGAGTATGTTAGCAAGGTTCTTCAAGTTCCTTGAGCAGTACTTGGAAGCCTCTCGTGGTATTGGCGGAGACCAAGAAGGGAGCCACAATAGTGAAAGTTCCAAGATTTCAGAGGAGGACTTGGAGAGTCCCTTTATTGACTTCATAAATAGAATGCAGTTGCCACCCAAAATAAAATTGTACACATCAATAACTTTGCCTTTCTTTATCTGGAATTATGCTTCTTTCTTTCTTTTTTTCTTAATTGATTTTGACTGTGCTTACATTTTGTGTCATTTTCACCTCTAGGATTATTCACTGCATTGCCATGGTAGATTGTGGTCAAGACGACTTGGAAGTTTGTAAAAGTAAACTTAAGACAAGAGATGGGTTAGAGCGTTTAGCCCTCTACCACAGTTCAAGGTTAGTTGATTTTTTTTGGATTAAGTTTTGTTAATAACATTTATCCTATATTTTTAGATTCTGTATAGTATTATTTTATCGACGCTGAATTTGGTACCTATGTGTTCATCCTATAAAATGTGTACTATTTTATTATCATGCATGGTCAATTTGAAGATATTGAAGAGCTATGCTTGTGAATAATTAAATTAAAATGGAAGAAACTGTACAATGTTTGATGGCCATGATTTAGGATTACGGAATTTAACTTTGTCATGAATCATGTTTCTTAGTATTTGATCCAATGACTTCAATGTGCACCTTATCTCGATACTTATGGTTCATCTGTATATAGAAGAATCTAGTTATATCAGTATCCCACATATAAATTCTTTGTACTTGTTCTTAGGTCGTCAAATGCCCATGGAGCTTGGATTTATCCTGAACATGGTCATGGGGATTTATCAGCTGCCTTTGCCCGCCGAGCCGCTGTTAAAGGTTGCATTACTGTAAGTTAAAGTGGAAGTATATGTTACCCTTTCTATAGAAATAAAAATACAAATATAAGGGAAAAGTATCCCACATCGTTGTTGCCTTGCATATACTTTTTACAAATTTATAAATAAACCCAATTCTAGACATGTATTTATAAAAAAACCCTAACACTATTTAAACATAGAAACACACCCAAACTCAACCCCAAAATCAACAATTGTATATTTTTTGGGTGTCTTTATAAATGGGTTTTGAGTGTGTGTAATGATGGGTTTTGGGTGTGTTTATAAAGTGTTTTGGGTGTTGGGTTTTTTTTATAATTTCAGCCCCCATTTTGGGTGTTTTAGTGAAACCCCCTATACTTTTTCATATACATGTGCCCTTTTTCATTTACTAATTTTTGGGCCAATATGGTGGGTCTTGTTTAAATTTGTTAGTTGTCTCTTGTTTAAAAACTTTTTAAATTTCATTTCCTCACCGAACTTTTTTAAAATTATAGTTTCAAAAACTCTGAAATTTTTTGCCCAGCTTGAGTTCCCACCTTTTCTTTTCCACCTTTAAAAAAGACGAAGTCTGAAAATTAGTAGCGAATAGGAAACTCAATTCAGATGATCAAGTCTTGGTGGCCATGGCTATGAGTATTTGTCATAAAGTCCACTTCAGCTTGGATGGCAATGAATATGAAAATTGCTATGAGTATATCACAGAAGCTTGTGAACAGGAAGTTTTGCACCCCTCAACTCAAAACTCAAGTGTGTTGTTGGCTTTCTCCATCATACCATTAATGCAACAACAAATGAAACACCAGTTCTTCTGATCAAACCCCTAAAGACCTTGGATGCCAAATTATTTCTATGAGAAGAAAGAATTCTTTCCATTTTTAAGTTTGTTTAAATCCTTTTGTTTGTATTTTCTAAGAAAATACCCAAACAAAATGAAGGTAAGAAACAATCTCAGATTTAAAGAACAAGAACTCCATTAATGTCCACAAGTTAATTTCATTTTCTAAACTCAGACATGATGTAGGATACGGGTGAATTGTAGATTTAGGTAGTTTAGCGGAAGCGGAAGCAATGCAAAACAGAAAATAGAACGAACAAGGATGGGTCTGGAATCACTCTAGGAGTTTGGCTTCACATCTATTTTTTACATCTTCGTCCAGAGATAATCCTTGAAAAAATTCATGCAAATTGAAAATTATTAAGGCATCGAATTGAGACAAACAAAATCAATAAACACGGTGCTTCAAGAAAGTACTTGAATTTCAATAATTTAATTAAGTGGTCAAATGATATCGGATTCAAGTGAGATTGTTTGAATTAGTGAAATACAATGCATTGTGGGCCCTACAATATATGTATGTATGTATTATGTTGTAAATTGCAACTTGTAATGCATGTCTGAAAAAACTGTCATGCAGGCTTTGCATACGCCAGTTAATGCTGTGCTTATGGATAAGGTATGGGAGTGAGTATAATTATATTGTCTTTAATAAAAGATACTTATATTAATACACTAACTTGGTACCTTAGAGTTACATGCAAATTCATATTTGCAATGGCATGTGAATATCGCAGGATAGTGGACAATATAAGGGTGTTAGATTAGCATCAGGTCAAGCTTTGTTTAGCCATCACCTTGTTTTGGATCCAACCTTCACCGTTACATTGGCACCAACTTCATCTCCACCAAACCTTCTAAGAGAAGGTCTTCAAGTTTTGAGTCTGAAAGATGATAAAGGAAAGGTGGCTAGGGGAATATGTATTACAGCCAGTTCCTTGAAGCCAGATGTATCAAATTGTGTGCTTGTATGTCCTCCCAGATGTAAGAATTCATTTAGGTTTTTATTGTGCTTTGCTGTAAATGTGAAAAGATAATAATAGTCATTTTCTTTCCTTTTTCCCTCCCAGCTTTGTGCCCTGAACAGGATACCTCAATCTGGATTATCCAGATATGTGGCAGTTTGGAAACGGGTGTTTGTCCAAAGGGCATGTATGTTTATGCTATTTGAAAACAAGCTCTCTCTCTCTGTCTCTCTCTCTCTCTCTTGCTATGACACAAACACACATACAGAGAGATATACAAACATTTATTATTTATTTTCATATTGAGTTTACATTTGTTTATATGTTGATCACTGAATCTTTTGGAAATCATGCATCACATGTGCAAAATCAAGAATATGCTTAGATATAGGGATCCTCCAATGCTGTAGCGGTGATATCTTTGTGAACAGGTAGAGAGGAAAAAGAATTACCACTTGCCACCTCCATCTTTGGATTAGGTTTCATTATAGCTGAAAAGAACGGTATCTTTGTGCAGGTGTCAAGTTTTTATAGCTCAAGTTGGTTGAAAATGAATGAATGTGCAAAGCCTTTGGTCATGAGATGGAACAGCTAAGTAGATGGTCTTTATTCCTAGAAATAAGTGAACTTAGGCAGAAACTATTTATTGATGGTTTTGGACCCTTATACACTCAGTTATTACTGATACAATCTTTCAGGATTGTTTACATAAACAGACTTTGACTTCTATACACCAGATCATGACCGTTGTCTATTTTGATACTTTCATATATATTAGATACACTTATAACAAAATTTTAAGCTGCCCACACTTCTTTACATTACCTTCTCGTCTTTAGGTTTCTGCTGTACTTTTCTGCTCTATGTGATGATGCTGAGCAAGGAAAAAGGTTGCTACAAGCAGTCAAGAATGCTCTTCTCACACTTCCTATGTCTGGAAATCCTGAAAGAGCTTCCACAGTTCAAAGTGAAAAAGCAGAAGCAAAACCCACCTTACTTTGGAGCACGTTGTATATTCAGGAGCTGACTATAGTACACCTCTCATCTTGACTTTTGTTTGTTTGCACTAAATTTGTTTCTCACCAGTTCTACATGTTACTCACATTGATTATGCAGCCTTATTCTTTTTCTTTTGATGTCAAATTATGATGACGATAATGTTGATTTGTTGTCGTAAATGTTGATTTGTTGTCGTAGATGTTTTAGGTTAGCGGATGCCGAGGTGATGACTTGTTCTCATATATATCTCTCTCTCTCTCTCTCTCTCTCTCTCTCTCTCTCTCCCCCTCTCTCTCTCCACCAAACGGTACGCATACAAACAATAGAGTGAGGGTCAAAATGAAAATGAGAGTAAATATTTTGTTACCTTTTCGTGATTGACATTAAAACCATCAGAACTTCAAGTTACTGAAAAATCCTATTTTCTTGGTGAAACCATGTTGTGGTTTTTGTATATGGGGCATGGATTGTGAGGTAGGTATGAGCTGTGATTATCTTTTCTGATTTACATTAATTTCAGGATCAACACGAATATCTTATTTCAACTCCCATGCCAGATGGAAATCTGTGGTACAATGATCTGTTAGATGCAACTGTGCTGGTATTATTATCTCTTTATTGACATCTTGTGTTGTTTCATTAAGCTTAACTTTTTGTTATTATATATCCCTTGATTAACACCCGTACGAAATTGGTGTCAACGTTTGCACTTGACAGCTTTTCCAGAAGTTGTATCCAAATGAAGAATTCTTTCCCGAGACACCTGGGAATTTGGAGGATGACATTCTGATTAATCTAGAGGACTAATAGTGGTATGCTGGACTCAAGTGTGTCTGTACTGTGCATCCCAACATGTTACTGAAATTATTAACACATGTGGCCTTGGTCATTGCTGAAGAGGATAGGCACAAGTGATGCTTGTATGTGTTCCATTGTTCACCACTTATTGTGATAGAGGATGAGGCTGGTACTAAATTTCTTCAAAACAAGTTTCCAAACTAAAGTCTTTATCATGAGTAATGATTAGAAAACCTTAAACTCTCTGGTTAGCTACTATACTTTCTTGCTATGCACAAATCAGGAATAGGAGCAGAAGCCAGACATTTGTGCTCGTAGTTTAAGAGACCAGATCCTCTTACTTTAAACTCTGAGTGAGCTGGGCTTGATTTTGTACTTTGTTTTTTCTCACTGTCTTGCTGGATTCAATTTTCTAGATTATTTGTATGCAAGAACCTCCACTTGGGGTGTGTTCTTACTGTTAATCTTTTGTTCTTGCCCTGTTGTAATGAATTTCTGCTTGTTCGGAAAAAAGAAGAAGAAAAGAATGAGGGGATCTGTGTTCGTTCTTTTGCAGACGCACGGTTCAAGTTATTAAAGAAAATGGCAATTGATGCATGTATTTCTTTCAGAGTTGGTCCCCTGGTCTTTGTCAGTAGCCTTGCTAGCTACGAAGACAAAAACCACAAATGGCTGAGAAAAAGAAAAATGTTCCGCGAGTATGCTGACCAAGGAAAGACAATTTTGGGTTGTTCAAACATTTAGCCACAAGGGCCCACAAAAGATTAGATTTTTTTGTCTTGTAACAAAAACCTATCCATTTCTTTTATTCAACTATGATGTGGAGCCATCAATTTATAGGCTAAAGTAAATACTGAATTTACAACATATTGTATGGTTACAAGCATTAAATACTAAATTTACAATATATTGTGAAGGTTACACCCTATAAGTTCATGTGATATTTGTACAAAAATCTCGTATATATATTTAGTACATATGTTACACATTACTAAAAAGGTGGAAGACTAAGAGATACGGTGGTCATCTATCATCTAGTGAGGCGTTGGAGCATCATCCAAATCTACTGATCGTCATTTCCAACACCACTATCAATGGCCTTGTAACTTAGGTCGTGAACTTGACGACCGAGAATTGATCCTCTCTTGGCTACAATAGCTTTGAGCGAAGTCATCAAACAAGCGCAATCTACACATCCAATCGATCTATCTGCATCATCATCAATCGCATGGTAATCTGTGCTGGCACGTCCAAGCATACCCCATACAACACAAAGTAGGACGACCTGTATTGGAGCATATCCCCTCGGCCTTAAACACCATGTCGTAAGATTTGAACAACCAACACCTTGAGACCATCTATTGACTTAGGGGGTGTATTCAATTCTATGAGTTTAAAGGTCTGGAGGTATTGAACTATGACTTTTAAATAGCCTTTAAAAGTTTAGTGGTATTCAATTGTGATTTTAAAAGTCTTTAAAGGTTTTGTGGTATCCAAAAAATTAATGACTTTTGAAAACTTTTTTTAAATGAATGACTTTTCAATACTTTTAAGCCTAATTCTTAACACCAAAAGTCTTGCTAATTTACCCAAGACTTTATCAATGAATTTGATCATGGTGTAGCTTTGGCCATTGCGAGGGTGTGCCACCATGTTTCGGTCTCTAGACCCGCTCCCTCTTTGGTCGATGTACTATCAAGAGATAGCCTACTACAACGCCAATTTGATTTTGTTTTTGGCTTCCATTATATGTCCTAGGAATTGTTATGATGATGAGTCGTTTCTTGCTTGTTTTTTTTTTCTTTTCAATGCTTGAAACAATTGCTACGTACTAAGAGCTATGGTGGAACTGCATTGGTTTCTTCCATAAATTTTGTTTGCCTTCATTTGCAATTTTTAAGGCCTATCTGTAGGAACAAATGATTTTGTTACAAAACTCACATTCTCCAACAACAATTTAGCTCTTAGCATCTCGAGGTTTACATCTAACCCCACATTCTGGTGCTGTTATTTGGCTTGGCTCTATCACCATGCCACTTTATTGGTATCTCCCACCCAAACAGAGTATACTTCTAGAAGGTCTTGAGGATCTCAACTTCGTTCCAACAATCGAATAATCTGTCCCTTCTTCCCCAAGACCCAGCTCTACAAACTAATTAATCTATCACTTATGGGAATTATTCTCTACAAACCCTAACCAAGGAGAATCTATATAAAGATGACATCTCATCACACATGAGATAATTCCAAAAACCCTAGAGAAAACTCTCTCTCTCTCTCTCTCTCTCTCTCTCTCTCTCTCTTGTCGAAGAGAAAGCTCCATCCTTCCAGTTAAAGTTGTATGTTCTTAAGACCATTTAATTGATTTAAGCATCGGAAGTCCTTTGGCCAACACCTCTCGAGTGTGCTCCGTTGACCGTATTTTGCAAGAATCAAGGAAGAAGACGATCGAGTGAGGAAGAGGATCTTTCACGAATATTCTCCCCAAAGATAATTTGTACAAACATATAGTGCGTACAATTTGGACACAATATCAAAATCGCTTAAGGTACTTGTTATTTTTCATAAATTTTATATTTGTTAAGTTTTCAATTTTGAACTCTCATTCTATTATGTATGTTCGGATCTTGCTCACGTCGAATTAGTTCACGATAGAATTATGTCAGACTTTCTAAGGTTTCTTTCGGCATTGCTTTCATGAAAATATATTAAGAATTGAATTTTTGGTGGTTTTATAAAGTTGAAACAGTTGCAGAGGAATTTTCTCGACAGATTATGTACCATGTGTGCGGATTAACAAATGACACATCTAAAGATCTTAAACTGACCTAAAATTTTGGTATATTTGTATATGCGTCTTCTTCGATACTGTTACTTTTCATGTTTATTCAATATGGATTTTATTTATGGTGTATTTTTTAAGTAACCTATGATCTGAGTATATGTGCTAGCAGATTTTATAAGTAAATTTTGTAGGTCTTCTTAGACTGTTGAATGGACATAAAGAGACTGTATATTTTTGTTATGTCTGTAGTTTGATTCTATGTAATTTGGGGTTAATCAAGCTAATAAAGAATTTGTGATAATTTTTCAAGTAAGTGAATGTCATTGCTGGAACGTTATTTGGCATGCTTTGTATTTGTTTTGGTGCACCTATGGTATTTTTAAAATAATATATTTTAAAAGTAGTATGATATTATCTTGTCAAAGTATACTAATTATCATGTTATAAAGTTATGAGGTTTTGGTGTACTTTTTGACAGTAACAAAGTAGTGAGTGTTTTGCCCAAATGGGATAACTGATGTATGGATTTTTGGGCTTAACACTCACTGCCCTATTTTGTAAGCTCATGAAGTCTTACTCACCTATGTTTCCAAGAGTTTTCCTATAATTTGTCTTGGTTGTCCAGTTATTCAGTTCAAATTTAAATAAAGTGCATGCATCAATTTAAATAAGGGTAAACTACTGAACTATCATGCTTGTTGAAATCTCCACCTTGAACTTTTTTTCCTGTCAATTTAGCCCTCATACTAAATCTTATCGCCAATTTACCCCCTACCGTTAGTTTTTAGCAATTTTCATTCTAAAGCTCGTCCAATATAAGAATAAATTTGACATTTTACAAGGTATAGTATTAAAAAAAATATGAAAAATAAGGGGTAACGAAACTTCACTGGATTAGGTAATGAGTGGCAACCATGCAAAGCAAAATGAGGGGTCTCGCTCCCCCATACTTGGGCATTTACATCGGCAACTCACAGTAATTGAATGAGCTACAAAATAGAAAAATGGACGGGGTAAGCTCACAAGAAACGAAGAAAAATAAAATAAAATAAAATAAAATAACGACAAGTAAACATTGGTTGCCTCCTAACAAGTTCTTGGTTTATAGTCATCAGTTAGACTGTAAAATCCATCAAGCCAGGTTGGTGAGCGGAAGTGAAGACTTCATGGCGTCGTTGTCCATTAACTTTGAAGGTAGCACCGGTCTCTAGATTTTGGATTTCAACAGCTCCATAAAGATAGACTTGCAACACAAGGAATGGGCCATACCAATGAGATCGAAGTTTTCCTAGAAAGAGTTTAAGCCGTGAATTGTAGAGGAGGACTTTTTGTCCTACAAAAAATTCTTTACGCTGAATATGGTTGTCATGTCATTGCTTGGTACTGTCTTTGTAAATTTTGTAAATTTTGGCATTCTCATATGCTCAGTTGTAGTAATCTTTTCTCTCCAGCTGCACCCATGTCAAAATTCAATTTCTTCATCGCCCAATATGCCTTGTGCTCTAATTTGACCGGTTAGTGGCAAGCTTTTCCAAAAATAAGTCAGTACAGGGACATACCAAGAGGTGTCTTGAATGTTGTGCTATAAGCCCATAGAGCATCATCTAATTTTGCCGACCAATCTTTCCGAGAAGCGCTAACAGTTTTCTCTAAAATTCTTTTGATTTCTTGGTTAGAAATTTTGACTTGGCCACATGCTTGAGGATGATAAGGGGTGGCTACCTTTTGAGTGATGCCATACTTAACCAAAAGAGCTTCGAATGGCTTATTACAAAAATGACCTTGCTAAATTAGAAAGAGTTCTAATGTTTTCCCACTGCCTTGCTAAATTAGAACCTAATGGATTGCACACCTTCAATGGTTAACTTTGAGATACAAATGAGAATGAGGAAATCAATTTAATTGATTTGATGTGGATGATTTACTACGTGTAAAAATGTATTTGGGCCTCGGTAATAGTTAATGAGAAGCCCAAATGGTTGGGTATCAAGCCCAAGGACTTAGGACACTTAAATATTATGGTTTAAGTGTCATAAGGCCCAATTTTGGAAGCCCAAGGGGGTTTGGCCGAAAATGCTTAAGTAGATGTGTATGGGAATTGTTTCCATAGGCTCATTAACACACAAACACAATCCAACATCAACCAAATAGGTTTGGGAGATCAAAGAGAGAGAAAAGAGAGTTTTCGAGAGTGAAACACTTTCATCTTTCAAAGGGGTTTAGATTGAAACAAATCTTGAGAATCTTGAACTAGCATCCTTGTATTCTCAAGATACTTCTTCTCATCTCAAGGTTCCATTGGTGTGGAGACTTAGAGGCCATGTCCTTTTGTGGCTCACAAGGAGGAAAAAGATCAAAGAGGAGATCAACAAATGGAAATCATCAAGAGAAGACCAAAACACAACTCGGTTCATATTATAGCATCAAGGGTAATTGACACTTATCCTTTTCTCTTGTGCTTTCATTTATGCAATCATATCAATGTTCATGGCTTAAGATACTTGGAAGAAGTTTTGTTTTGAATTTAAACAACCACCATATTTTTCCGCTGCGATTAATTTGATTAAATGCAAGTTTAATATTCAAATAAACTTCTTAAAAATGTTTTATAACCAACAAGGATTTTGGTTACTTACCCATAAATTTAGTCCTATTGTAATTGAGATTTATTTCCTATTGTAATTTAGATTTATTTCCTATGTTATTTAGGGTTAACTCATCTTTGGAGAAGAATAAAAAAATGAGCATTATGACCATAATTGATTATTTGTCCTACTTTTATTTCACATGGTATGAGAGCCTAGGTTTTCTTGTGACCTATGCTTGATTTTTCCTTGCAATTTAAGTGCTCTCGAGGAGGGGAAGAGGAGTCAAAAAGATATGTTTACTGACGTATCCCCATTACATTGACATATTCCCAGGAAAATGTTGCTTATTTCTTGACTTTGACGACCCCTTCTCATTAGGGGCAAGAGGGAGAGTGAAGAGCAGTTGTGTTTGTGTGAATTAGCTAAAGTTGATATGGAAGAACTGTTGTCATTATTGTTGTTATTGCTGCTGTCGCCATTGATGTTGTCTTTGCTTGCTTCGCTTTCCAATGTCGTGGTTATTGATGTTGATGTGGCCATGCCCTTTGCCTT